GACCCTTCTTTTTATGGAAGCATTTCTTTGTCTTAACGTCAGGATGTTACCTGGCAGCAAGTCTAATGCTACCTGCAAGTGCACCAGACCTTTTTATGGAAGCATTCCTTCTAGTAACCTCTAGGGTGTGATCTTTGTGTTTACAGCAGGATGTTACCTGCCAGGGAACCATATGTTACCTCCAAGTGCACCTGACTCTTCCTCTTTCTATTACAGCATTCCTTTCTGTTTGTGGCAGCATGTTACCTGGGAGCGAACCATATGTCACCTGCTAGTGCACCTGACCCTTCTTTCTATGGAAGCATTCCTTTCTGTTTACTGCAGGATGTTACTTGGCCACGAACCATATGTTACCTGCCAGTGCACCTGAGCCTTCCTCTTTCTACGGATGCATTTCTTCGTGTTTACGGCAGGACAATACGTGGCAGCAAACCATGTTACTTGCAAGTGCACCTGATCATTCCTCTTCTTATGTAAGCATTATTTATTGTTACCTGTAGGGTGTTTTCTTTGTTTTTACGGCCGTATGTTACCTGGCAGGGAACGATAGGCAACCTGCAAGTGCACCTGACGCGTCCTCTTCCTATGGAAGCATTCCTTTGTGTTTATGGCAGGTTGTTACCTGGCAGCAAACCATATGGTAATTACAAGTGCACCTGACCCTTCCCCTTACTATGGAAACATTCCTTTGAGGATGTTACCTGGCAGCGAACTTCTTGTTACCTTCCTTCTTGTTCATTCCTTCTTGTTACCTGTAGGGTGTTTTCTTTGTGTTTACGGCAGAATGTTACCTGGCAGCAAACAATACTTTACCTGCAAGTGCACTTGCTGCGTCCCCTTCCTATGGAAGTATTCCTTTGTGTTTATGGCAGGATGTAACCTGGCAGCAAACCATTACCTGAGAGCAAATATAATGCTACCTGCAAGTTCACCTGACCCTTTTTTCCTATGGAGGCATTCCTTCTTGTTACCTGCAGGGTGTGTGCTTTGTTTCGGCGGCAGGATGTAACTTGGCAGAGAACCATGTGTTGCCTGCAAGCGCACCTTACCCTCCCTCTTCATATGAAAGCGTTCCTTCTTGTTACCTTAAGGGTGTGTACTTTGTGTTTATGGCACAATGTTACCTAGCTGCAATTCACATTTTACCTGCAAGTGCACGTGACGCTTCCTCTAATTATGGAAGCATTCCTTGGTGTTACCTCACAGCATACAATATGTCACCGTGCAAATTCACCTGACCCTTCTTCCTATGGAAGCATTCCTTTTTGTTACCTGTAGGGTGTATACTTTGTGTTTACGACAGGATGTTACTCACGAATAACAATGTAGGAGAAGGGCAAACGGAAGCGTAGAAATCTAGTGAGATTCCTAAAACACGCCAACGACTGATACCACACTGACGTTTGAATCATGGAAGCCGCTAATCTGCTACAACTGCAAACAAAATGGCAGCACATCCACGCTGTGAATGATGGAGAGTGGGGCGAAGTATCCATCCGTCCATTCGTTCTTGCTTCCGTCCGTCCGAGCGTCCGTCTGTGTGACCGTCCATGCGTCCATTCGCCCGCCTGTGCGTGCGTCTGTTCGTGCGTCGGTCCCTGCGTTCGTCCATGCATTCGCCCCTGCGTCCGTCCATGCGTCCATCTGTCTGTGCAGCCATCTATACGTCCGTCCATGCATCTCTCTGTGTGTCCGTTCGTCCATCAAGTCAACACTCCAGGTACCACCATCTCGCATCTTTTAATCATATATGCGCTCGTCTGTGTGACCGTCTGTGCAACCATCCGCCCGTCCCAGCGTGCGTCTGTTCATGCGTCCGTCCCTGCGTTCGTCCATGCACCCACCCCTGCGTCTGTCAATGCGTCCATTCGGCCATGCAGCCATCCATGCGTCCGTACATGCATCTGTATGTGTGTCCGTTCGTCCATCTAGTCAACACTCCAAGTACCACTATCTCGTATCTTTTCATCATATATTCCGCATATAGAAGCACCACCATCCAGCATATATTCTAAGGACTAAACGAGAGGTGGCACACGCAGACTTTTTTACGGCTTGCGCTTTTTGTCTACTTCCCACCTTTAACCACTTCGAGTTGATGGTATATGCTAGATCACTGTATTCATTGCACTGCGGCCCAACGCTCACTAAACCTTTTTAAAACCAAGAAGCTCACGCCCAGCGAGCGTAACCTAGCAACTCTTTCTTGTCAGATAGAGCTCAATGTACATGCGAATGACTGGTAATTGGGAATGAAAGACGGGAGAATTCGGCTTTTAGTTAACGCGTACGCTGCGAATTGTTTTATTGTTCAACAACGCACAGGAGAAATCTCCCATCGGCACCACCTTGCAGGTCAAGGCGTAAGACTGGTTACGCACAACGACTACGACGAGAGACGAACGGGTGCCGCTTTAAAGAGCCTCGCCCCTGAAAGAAAGGGCACATCGCTGTGAACTGAAAGCAAAAGTTTGCTTTCGGAACAATCCGAGTATCGGAAAAGAACATGCGGTTGTTAGAGTCGTACCTCCAGGAAATGAGTGTGAATAGGAAAACGTGTCGAGCACTTCGAGACTCAGCTGCAACTACGGATGTTGACCATCCTTTGTTTGTGTCTTCGGACGACTTTACAGGAGAATGCGCGTAGATCAACTACGTCCTTGCTTACCAATCACTACGGTTGTCATTGAGGGCCCGTACGGTAAGCTTCGCACCGAAGCGGCAGTGTCTGCCGTGCTTCCTGATCGTTTTCCTTATCTTTTTTTTTCGAATAACTGTGAGCAGCTTCTCCAATTGCAGGGTAAATCGTTCTTCTCCAACTTAGCATACATGGCCCTCACGCAATAGCAAGCGCGGAAGCTTTCGCAGGAAGTTGATCTTGTTCAATTAGTGAAACACCGCCTGCAAAAGCGGCTGATCTGCGTGACCTTGGCGGCGAGTCGACGGAACATCGGACAGGAAATTTTCCGGGTAAGTCACTCTAGCAGTCACTCGAGCGGCCCGTTGCCGAAGCGGCTGGTGCTGTCTCTGTCGGCGGAGGAGACGACATGGCGCCATTGTGTGAAAGCGAGATGGGTAGATGCTCTCGCCTGTAGCGGAAAGTTAGAGTGAGCTGACGAGGGTATATCGTTAAACGCTCATTCCAGAACAGCGTGAGGGCATCTCGATTAAAGCGGCAATGGAAAGCGTAAAGCTAGGAATGAAGAAAAAGAATGTTTCTTTTTTTAGAAGGACTGTGTTTGCGTCGGTCTTCGTAACAATATACAGCGGCTGGGTAGATATATGTGGAAGAGAAGGCGAGGCACTAGGACTGAAACTTAGTGCAACAGAATGTGAATTGATGGTATTCACTGATCACAAAGAGCAGGGGATCTCAATACTGGGCCAGGAAATACCGAAGGTAAGCGAGTACATGTACCCCGGAGTAAAGGTAAATGGAGTAGATGGATATATGGAGGTACAGGAAAACATCGACAGCCAAGGGAAAAAGGAATGCTGCCCTAATTAGGCACAGAGCGTGATGGGGGTATAATATGTACGAAGTGATTCGAGGCCTGTGGAAAGGCGTAATGGTTTCAGGGCATACATTTGTGAACTCAGGGGTGTGCATGAAGTCAGAGGTGCAATTAGGAATAGATGTAAATCAAATGACTGAGAGACGTTGGGCACTCACGGGAGGACGACGAAGGAGGCTGTAAAGAGGGATATCGGATGGGTAGGCTTTAAATTAAGGGAAGCTCAGAGCAAAATGAGGTATAGGAAAGGCCTATAAAAATAAAGGATAGTAGATGGGCAGAGAAGATGTTCAGGTATTTGTATAAAAATAGCGTGCACACAAGGTTGAAAAAAGAACTAGGAGGCTCACCAGTAAATATACAGCTGGAAGTGTGGGCAACACGGCAACAAAAAGCAATAAGCGAGAAGCCAGAGAGGAGGAGAGGATTTAATGGATGACAGCGATGGAAAAGAAGCCGGCTCTCAGTAACTACCGAAAGGGCCAGAACGAAATAAGGCGGCAGGGTTTTTACGATGAATTATGGGGAAGTACATTACTGTTCGAAACAATATCGGGTTGCCTTAGAACGAGTAGTCATAAAGCGAAATTTAGTAAAAAATAAGAACAATGTACATGCATTGGATGACTTTAGGAAATGATGGAACCTATTCTGATTGAATGCGGCGATATCAACCCAGGTATACGTGTAGGTACAAACCTACATGAGGTTTTGGGTTTCAGTGACGAACATGGAAAGCTGAACACGTCCGCAGTAAAAGCAAGTAAAAGACGATTACAGTACTGGTGGCAGAAAAGTACAGATAGAGGGCAGAAATGCTGTGAAAATGAGGTCATTCTGCCTGAGCAGTGAAGATTAGTTCACGCTGGCAGGAGAACACCAGTTCACGTGCCATGCCTTGTCAGGTGCACCACAGACTAGCCGTGCCAACAGCCGTGACGGAAAATATTCGAGAGACTTATAAGGCATAGAAATGCGTCAGCCAGACCAAGGGAAGGCCACCAGCTTTGCTGTTTCATCGTCTAGTTGATTTGTTCATCTTTGTGCTGTGCCATTAAAATGCATAAGTCATACATCGAATTTTTTACAATGGGCAGGCAGATTACCGTAATTACTGTTACTTGTCAAGCTTAACCTTTCCGATCATTCACGTATGAAAGACGACTATCGTGCTCGACTACTCACCTGCGGAATCAAACCCCACCATTTTCGGTTCAGCTGTAAATGGTTGAGGCCCGTGCCCTTATATTTAAGAGCCCCCCATTTGAACGTCCCTAACATCATGGCTTTGGGACGTCAAACCCCAACGAACACGGCGATCATATTACCGACGGCCGGCGACTGCAGTCACCTCTGTATACGCCTAATAGCAACGCGAAAAGTGCAAGCGATGCACGCATAGTGCATTGTATACGACGTTTAAATTTCTTGGCGAAGGTGCGGCTAATAAAAAATTTGGTCAGCGTCAAACGAATAGGATGCTGCTCACAGGTCAAAACGGTGGCTGCCGTTACTGGCGTCGTCTCCCGTCGTCACGTACAGGCACCGGTCTGGGCCGAACAGGAGATGGCCACCGTTGTAGCGGTGGTTGCGCTGGGCCACGCGCAGCAGAACCACCTCGGCCACCGCCTGCGGTTATGGACACCAGTGGTTAGCACAGGGCTTCTTCCCAGCAAGCGGAAGTGATATCTCTTCCACTGGGTACGCAGCGTGGTCTACGTCACAGTTCACACAATGCGGAGTCTCAACGTAAACGCTCGGACGCCACATTTGGCCACGGCTAGCTCTGAGAGCTAGCCGTGGCCAAATCAGTGAAAACCAGGACTCGGCAGTATCACAATATTATCTGAAGTTTCAAGTTTGTGTTTACCACACAATTACACATTGGCATTGGGCTTTTTGTAGTCATAACAATGATATAATATTTGGTATGGAATGCGGGAAAAAAGCTGCGATACAAACGCAGCTTAACTAGCCCCACATTTCAACGAACAAAGCCGAAAAAGCAGCAGCATTTGTTAGGTAAACTAAAACAGTAAACGGATAACAATTACATAGTTGAAAGGGGCACAATAACAAATATTTCATACATGTAGGCAAGATCGCACTCTAAAGAAATACAAAAATGGGAATAAACAGGATACAAAGAAATCTATTTTCTTTATTGCATCATGTAAAAAATAGACTGGACATGTCCTGTCGCGAAACAAGGCGCTGCAGTGAAAAGCTGAATTTATTTAGTATGTGTGGGAATGAATATTTCAGCATATTGTTAGGAATTTTGCTCTGTCGCGATGGTAGCGGTGGCGAAGAGCGGCGCACCGTCGAGCGGACTTCGATGAAGCCTTAGCCCGAAGGTGAAACAGGGAGGCAATCCGTTTGGAAAACAGCAACAAAAGGAGCGTTTACTGTAGCAGGTTTACAGAGCCGGCCAGCACGACAACGTCGGCTGGGGCAAAATCCACTAACATGGGGCCGGCTCGGCCTTAAATAGCGTCTTTGGTCCATTCTCTCCGACCAGTTCTCGGGCTCGGAGGGGGGGAGACGTAGCCATACCCGGAACTGCAAAGTGGTTCGGCGGAGGAAACGACGTTATCCCCGGACTGCACGGTTCTCCTGCACAGAAGGCGGCGCTGGGAGGGGGGGAGACAGTTCGTCGAAACAGGGCTAGATCTTGCGAGACGTGCTCCCGAACGAGGAACATGTCTGTGGCACAACAGCACCCCCGCCGCCAGACAATGCATCCGGAGTTTTGAGCCGTCAGCGCGGCTCGGAAGGAGGAATGCTGGTTGACCGTTGAGGCTGTAGCCACTCCGTGGTGATCTTCAGAGCCCTGCAGGGAATCACTGGGACGACGGAGTTGAACTCAAAGCCAAACCACTTTCGTGGAAGCAAGCACCCTCTGAACGTCTCTCATAGCGCCAGACCAAGGCAGCAAAGAGATCTATTGAGTCTCTACTATTGTACGTTTTAAAAAGCACGAGAAACGTATCCCTTAGAGACCTCAAAACGCTGGCCCTCACGAATGCTGTGATTACACTGCGCAGTCCCGATGCCAAGAAAGGCCACGCGAAACCATCCCCAATGCCATACGAGCGGGTCGGAACCTGCTGAAGCAGCCCAAAACCAATTCTGTGCATTTTTTTTTGAACAATTTACCAGAATGGTAGAGGCTGGGCTTCCTGGTAACATATCAGAGTACACTTCAAACAAAATTACATCTGTTAGTGCAATGCGACATTGTTAATACAGTTTAAATCAAAATGAAATAATAGACGCCAAAATTTTGCGAAACACGTCAAACCAGAAGCATGTGCCTCAACTTGTATGAGGGAGCTGGGCTGCACTTCAATAAGCTCTGCTGAGACCATCTGCATTTGTGTGCAGCTTCCCTTTCTTATAGCGCACACTAAAGTTATGGTGCTGAAGCGTCAGGCTCCACCTAAGTAACCGACCGCTTTTAGACGACATGTTGTGCAACCAAGTCAAGGGGCAGTGATCAGTTTCTACTATGAAGCTCGACCCTGAGACGTAACATGCTAGCTTACCAATTGCCCAAACAAGGCAGGCGCACTCTTTTTCTGAAGTGCTGTAAGCTTCCTCTCTGACACTGAGCTTTCTGCTGAGATACAAAACTGGCCGCTCGTGCCCTTCGGCGTCTTTTTGGCACAAAACTGCTCCTAGGCCGCGGTCACTGGCATCACACTGAATAATAAAACTCTGAGAAAAGTCCGGTGCCGCTAGCACGGGTCGTTTTGCGAGAGCGCTCTTGAGGCTCTTGAAAGCATTCTCTTTTCTTGTGTCCCACGAAATGACGGTGGGCTCGGTTTTGCGGAGAGAGTCCGTCAGCGGACTAGCGAGGTTTGAGTAACCTTTGACGTAGTGTTGATAATACCCCGCCAGTCCCAAAAACGCCCTCAATTCCGACTTTGTGGTGGGACGACGATACCCTAAAACGGCCGCAACTTTCAGCTCGGACGGGCTACGCTGGCCACGACCCACGATGTGGCCGAGATAACTTACGCTTGCGCACCCTAAGTGGCATTTCTGCGCTCTCACGGTGAGGCCTGCATCACGTAGTCGAGCCAGAACGGTCCTCAAGTGAGTCACATGCTCGACCCACGTATCAGAGAATATTGCCACATCATCGAGATACGGCAGGGCGAAATCTCCTAAACCCCGCAACACCCGATCCATGAGGTTTGAGAAGCAGTAGGGAGCATTCTTTAAGCCGAAAGCAAGCATTAAAGGGCGAAATGTTCCCAATGGGGAAATGAATGCGGCATAACGAGAGGCTCGCTCCGTCAACGGGACCTGCCAGTATCCCCGTACCAGATCTAAGAGGGAGATATATGTGGATTTTGCCACGGTTTCTACTCTCTCCTCGATATTAGGTATCGGATACGTCTGATCTAAAGTGATCTTATTTAGCCGGCGGTAGTCCACGCATGGCCAAGGGTCTTTTCCCGGAACCTCGACTAGTATGAGTGGGGAGGTGTAATCGCTTTCACCTGGAATGATGACCCCCAAGTCACACATGCGGCGGATCTCGGCTTCCATGATCTCTCTTTGCCTCGGCGATACGCGGTAAGCCTTGCTAGAGATCGGTTCTTCACTTGATAACTGAATATCATGCTCTACCAAAGAGGTTTTCCCTGGTTTGTCGCAAAACACGTCTGCGTAGTCTCTAACTACTTTCGTGAGATCATCACGCTGACTCTCCGTGAGACTTTGCTCTTCGGCAATAAGCTGTACGAGTCTGTTAGCTGGCGCGTCGCTCTCACGTGGAAAACTAAAAAGGTCGGTCTCCACTTCGTTCGCCGCATTCAGTGTCATGTTAACCACGACATGGCGCTGGATGTAAGGCTTCATTAAATTACTGTGGTAAACCTTACCTTTCTTTCGGCCCAGTTTTACCTCGTAGTTTGTGTCTGAAAGCTTGGACATTACTTTAGCTGGCCCTTCCCACTGCATGTCCATTTTGTTCTTTTTACACTGTCGTAGCAGCATTACCTGGTCGCCGATGTTGAACGTGCGCTTCCGGGACAACTTATCGTAGTAAGTCTTCGCTAAACTCTGAGCCGCCTTCATGTTTTCCTCAACTAGCTCTCTGGTTTTAGATAGTCTTTCCAACAGATCTAAAACGTAGCTGACTACGCGTGGGTCTTCTTCATATCCTTCCCACGAGTCTCTCAATAGCCGAAATGGAGATCTTAAGTTTCTTCCATAGACAAGCTCGGCGGGACTGAATCCCGTTGTCTCGTGGGGAGCGGACCGTATGGCGAACAGTGCCGCGGGTATGCATGCCTCCCAATCTTTGTTATGTTCAAAGCAAAGAGCTCTCAGAACTCGCTTGAGTACAGCATGCATCCTCTCCACGGGGTTAGACTGTGGATGTCCTATAGAGCTGTGGATTATTTTTATTCCACAGCGTTCAAAAAACGCTGTTGTGAGACAACTGGTAAATACGCTCCCATTGTCACTCTGAATCTCGGCTGGAAAGCCAACGCGGGCAAAAATGGACAAAAGTGCGTCCACAATGCAGGGAGAGGTGAGCTCTTTTAGCGGAACCGCTTCGGGAAATTTCGTTCCCACGCACAAAACAGTTAAAATGTAGCGACAACCGGAACGGGACTCTGGAAGGGGGCCAACAATATCAATTACGAGCCTCCGGAACGGCTCTGTGATAACAGGCACTAATCTCATCGGGGACTTCCGTTTGTCAGTAGATTTGCCTACTCTCTGACACGTGTCGCACGATCGTACGAAGTTTTCTACATCTTTCCAGCATCCAGGCCAATAGAAATCCTGTGCGAGCCTCGCCTTTGTTTTCTTGATGCCAAGGTGGCCCGCCCAGGCATTTCCGTGCGCCAGTTCTAAAAACTGTCGTCGGTACTTCTCTGGCACTAGAAGCTGGTCGAACGTTCTACCCTCAGCGTCCCGATACTTTCGATACATGAGCCCTGCCTTCGTGTAGAATGAGATGTTCTTTCGGGCTACTCCTTCTTTCCCGTTATGCTGCAGATTCTTAATGGTATCATCACTTGCCTGCGCAGTGACGAGTGTGTTTCTGTCTACTTTACTGAGCTCTTCCCAACAAGTGGATGTTGGACCAAGCAGGGACGACTGAACGCTCTCCTGAAGCACTCTGCTTTCATCCACCTCCACAGGCTCGTCGCGTTCGGTAGCCATTACCGTATCCGGAGCCCTACTGTCTTCGATGTCCGGTGATACACTAGTCGCCTCTTGGCCCGAGTCTCCCTGGGGAGTTGCCTCACGCTCGTCCGCCTCCTCGTTCGAAACCGAGACCTCAAGTCTCCCCGCGAGAGCGCGGGACCGCGATCGCGTGAGTGCCATGCACGCGAGGGGAGATGAAAATGACTGGCCCTTTTCTTGAAGGAGCTGCTCTGATCTGTTGGAAAAAAGGTACGGAAAATCTTGGGGCAAATTAGGGCTCACGGCCGCCTCAGTGCGCAATTTTCCAAAACTTCCCTCTAGAACAACCGCAGCAATTGGCAAACAGGCACTTTGCTCTTCTGCAACCTGTCTGATCCAGGCGCATTCGCCAGTATAGTCGCCAGGGGAGATGCAAGATGGGTGTGCTACGTCCATCGTCGCAGCTGAATCAC